GAGTGGGCCTGACTGAGAGTGTGACCCGGAGTAGCGTCAGGATTGTTTTGTGGGAACAGCTTCCTAAAGGAAACATTCCAGAGGAATCCACCACTACCTCTCCTCAGCTCATCAGAGACAAGGAACACTGTGACCCCGGGAGCAGCTGCTTTGGTTCGTGTTTCCCCAGAGCCCCAGAAGCCTGGACAAGCTCCGTAACTCTAAGTCCAAGGACACCTGGTTCCTTTCCAATGGTGACCCGGAGGTTCCGTCTGCAGCCTGAGGATGTGGACATGCCTGGAGCGGACAACAAGGCCTCTCCAGCCCATTTCTAAGCTGGATATCCCAGAGAGTCACCTGGGATGGGCAGGAAGGCTGAAGGAGGTACAGGAATTCTCATGGCTTTACTTAGTCCTGGGAGACCCAGAAATACAGCCTGAGTCTGGCCTAAAGAGCTTTCACGGAATATCCCATAGCCCTCTCTGATCTCAGAATTATGGGCACCTCTCAAAGGAACCAAGGGTTGAGTTCCTGCCCCCTGGGTCCAGCCAGCACAGGCAACACTGGACTTCACCAGGGCAGGACTGTTCTTGCACAAGTGTCTGTGCCGGACATGTCCCATCTATGCTGACAACCAGTTCAGGGTCAAGCCCCTCCTATCTGGTCCCTGTCTCGATGGTACAGATGCTGTGGGTGACATCACTGACCATGTCACTGGCTGGAGGACACCGCTGCTGGGCAGATGTCAGTTTGATGGTTAGGGAAGGACGGGGGCCCCTTTCCTTGCAAGAGCTTGCTTTTACTGTACAATGAATGAGTCCAAACAAGGCGTCTCTGAGCCGGCTCCAGGAAAGCCTAGCTCAAGCCTACTTAAGGTACGGGCTCAGGGTGTCAGTGGGCTGCTTCCGCTTTTTACAGGCCCCAGTTCATCCCAAATCATGATGGTTTTTTTTGGAGCCATTTTAAGTTTTCCTCTCATTACATGTCTCCTTGTACTCTGCCTTCCGTTCTTCTGGGAATACAGTGAGGGGTGGAAGGGTGGGTGGGTGGGTGGATGGAGGAACAGAGAGCCTGACTGAGGTAGTCACTGGCCCCTCTGCCCCACCTACTCGTGATTGGTGCTCAGAGCAGATGCCGACCAGTGTGCGCAGAGCTGCCAGCATCAGGTCAGCCTCGCCCGTGTCCAGCAGGCGTTGCAGGAGCTGAACCCCGTTGCTCCGGAAGATCTTCTCAGCTCCAGCATCCTCCCGGGCCAGCACCACCAGGTTCTGGGAAGCCTATGTCAAAGAAGCGCACCATGATGTGGACGCTACACACGGCACAGGCCAGGGTGAGCAGCGAGCCTGAGCTCTGGACCACACTGCTTCCATTTAGCAGCTAAGTGACCGTGTCATAAATGTAACCTCTCTGAACTTCGGGTTCCTCCAGTAAGTAAGTAAAAGGACACACGCAGGCCCCAGGCCCTGTAAGTTCTCGCTGGGAGCCCGGCTGCGTGGCCCGAGGAGCACCATGCACCACAGCGGGCCAGCAGTGGCTGGTGGGCCAACACAGGCTCACAGCGAGGGCACCATGGGGGTGGGGGTGGGGTTGTAGTGGCAGTTCTGCCCCCACTCGCTCCCTCCAGACCTATACCTTTTGCTTCTTCTCGGTGCCCTTCTCTTGTGGGTCCAACAGTATCTGAAACATCTGTTCCACTTTGGCATCCGTCGAGGACATGTATCGCACCTATGAAAAGCCAATGAGGCATGGAGGAGATCACTCCTTCCGCCAGAGACAGCGCATTCCCTGTGTGCTCCCCTCTGCTCCTCCCAGGGCCTGGCTCCCGTCCCTAGGAGGCACAGCTAGGACACCTGGGCTTCGGGCTCGCACCATGCTACCCTGGGCAGGAAGAGACTCGCCTGGCAGCTTCACCCAAACGTCCCGCGGCTGTTTTCCCTTCTGAGCTACTTCCCGCTCGGGCGGTAGGGGCGGCGCCATTCAGAAGGGAAGGGCACCCTGTGAGCCACGGGCCACCCCCTCCCGGAGGTGCCCTCCATGTTGTGGCAGCATGGGTGCTCTGCCCGTGACACTCAACCCAGCATTGACACCTGCAGCAAGGGAGTCAGCGGGCCACGAGGTAGCTGCAAACACTCCCTGGGGCTCCAGAATTCTCTTTCTGACCACTTTTAGAAATCATCTAATTGAGCAAGATCATCATAGGCCCTCTCCCGCCCCACGGTCCAGGGCATGGATGGTGGCACGTACCTAGCACGTGTGCCACTCCCCGCTTCCCCCTTTGCATCCATGGCGGACATGACCAATCAGTCATGCATGGAACGTTCTGCTAGGCCCACCAACCTGCTTCCTCATCCATCTCAACACAGGGCTCAGGCAGCTCCTGCTGACTGAACAGAGCTGGCATGGAGGAAAAAACGACCTGCTTTCCCAAGTCTCAACCTTTCAATAAGGTGTTTGCCAGCATATTACCTGCTCTCACTGTGACAGTATTGTAACACCACATGATCTGCTTAATTCAAGCTTCGTTGTGGTTCATGATGGGCTTTAGGTCCTTTTCTCCTAAAGTAACTTTTCACATATGTACTATACCAGCAATGTCTCTTTCTATATCATGAAGTTAATAGATGAAGCAAAATCTCTTTAAAAAACTCCATCAATCCCACTCCTTTCCCCGTGGGTCATGCTCTTATCGTTTTGATGCGTTATCTCTGAAAATATTTTTCTTCGTATTTACACACCCAAGTGGGCCCACAGAAGAAACTTGGTACTGTTTTGAGGGTGTACGTGGGGTACTATTTCAACATAAACGGTATCATACTACGCGTGTTACAGCATACTTGGCTTTTTTTCATTTAAGTAATCTCTTTCTGGGGCGCCGGGGTGGCTCAGTCGGTTAAGCATCTGCCTTCGGCTCAGGTCATGATCCCAGAGTCCTGGGATCAATCCCCACATCGGGCTCCGTGCTCTGCGGGGAGCCTGCTTCTCCCTCTCCCTCTGCCTGCCGCTCTGCCTACTTGTGCGCTATCTCTCTGTCAAATAAATAAATACAATCTTTAAAAACAAACAAAAAAAGTATTCTCTTTCCTCGTCTATACACGTAAATCTACCTATTGTTGGTAACTATGATATAGGAGTCCACAGTAAGGGCAGCACGCCATTTATTTAGCCATTCCCCTATTGCTGGGCAGTTAGCCAAGCTCCTATTTTTCATTACAACAAACAAGGCTGAAATAAACATACACAACACGCCTGCTTGTGTACATGGGATAGGCTTCTCCAGGGAAGACAGCAAGTAAACATACTGGATCATAGGATACGCTCGTTTAAAATTTTAAGAGCTATGTTCAGGTACTCCCCGAAAGAGCTGTACCAATATATACCGACTCCGGCAGTCATGAGCAAACCCACCACTTAGGCGTCTACCTCCCTTCTTCTAGCAAAGTGTATATACTTTAAAAGTTTGCCAAACAGACCACCGAAAAGACAGCACCTTGCTGTTATTTCCATTTGCTTCTCCCTAACCACTAGCAAGGCTGAGCATCAATACATAAGCTTGTTTGCCATCAGTATCTCCTGTGTTTACACCCTTTGCCCAGACCCATTTACCAGTGTCCCTCTACCGCCTGTCAATGTCTCTCTCTCTCTGCCTCTCTCTCGGTCATTCATGTACCTTCTCCTGAATTTGGCCCCCGATGTTCCTCAGGGCCTCCTGGAAAACTTTGTTCTTGGGCTCCAGGCTCACACATCTCTGCAGGTCGAGGATAGCCTGGTCAAGGCGGCCCAACTTCTCTAGGGCTTGGCTGCGCCGGTAAAGTGCTTTGACATCTCCTCCGTCCTTTTCAATGGCTGAGCACAAACGGGAGCTCTGTCAGCACCCATGAGGCCACTGTCTCCAGGCAAGAGCAGTAGGGAAAGGTCTCGAGGGCCCGAGGAAGGTGGGGGGGACAGATGTGGGGCTCAGTATTCCAGCCTCAGAAAAGGTGAGGGTAGCTGCAGAGAAGGAAATGCCCGAGGAAGTGGGAAAGAAAGAAGGCAGAGGTGTTTCTGGGGCCAAAGGGAAAGGAAAATGTGAAGGTGCAGTGGCCCCAGAGTTCTTGCCCACCATTAGAAGCCCCACAGCTCCGCACCCCAGCCCACAGTCCCCTACCTTTGGATGCCTCGGTTTCTGCTTTGTCATAATCTTCCTGTAAGAAAAGGAACAGGAGCTTGAGAGGCTGGTCTTCTCCCTTTCAGGGCACTAGCTGGGCAGCAGGGCTGTGCTCTAGAGCCACTCGATTCCCCACCACCCTGAGGCCCAAAAGACATCAGACAAGTAAGTGTAGGTGGCCTGGGAAGGTGAATGCCCAGCCGGGACCCAAACAGCAGCGAGTTGGGCAAACCGGGCCCAGGGAGGGCAGAGGAAGAGCAGCCGGCTGCCTCACCAGCTTGAGGTGGCAGGCGGCCCGGTTTCGGTGCAGAATGGCCTGGTCCTGGGGCGTAGCACCCAGGCCCAGGGCCTGAGTGTAGGCCGTCAGGGCGCCCTCGTAGTCCCCGCATTTGAACAGCTCGTTGCCCTCCTTCCGCAGCTGCTCCACCGCGCTGGCCTGTGGAGGGAACAGGTGGAAACGTCGCGGGTGGGCTCAGGCCAGGGCCGGGGAGCTGGGAGAAAGGAGCCCGGGGATCAGGGGCAAGTCCCGTGGGAGGCCAAGACTGGGGGAGAAGGAGGCCGGGGAATGTCAGAGCAGGTGGGAAGTGCTGATGGAGCGGGAGGATGCGTACGCACCCCGGGGGCGACCGGCCGGGGCTCGGGAGTGCCTGGATCACTCACGGTCATCGCGGAGCAAGGGGGTGTCCAGGGCGCGCGCAGGCGCAGTCTCTGGCGCGGAGTGGGACCCGGTTCAGGAATCTGGCGTCGGCTGCCCCGCCCCGGTCCTGCGTCAGAGGCGGAGGCAGGGGAGGGGCGGGGCCACGGCGAGAGCGCGCCGGTGGGCGGGGCTCTGGTGGGCGGGGCTCGAGTCCGCGGTGCAGACAGGCCGTGGGCGCGCCTAGTCTGTTCCCACCGGGACCTGCAAGGGGCGCGCGGCGGAGGACCCAGAGGGAGGCTGGCAGGGGCCCCGGCGCCGGCCCCCGCCCCGACCGCGGCAGAAGTGCACGAGGTCGGCGGTCATCAGGGCCACGAGCAGCAGGGTATAGAGACCCAGGGCTAGGAGCGGGCCCCGGCCCCTGTAGGAGAGGGGAGAGTATTAGGGTGCTGGCCCCAGCCGCGTGCTTGCTGCTGCAGCCTGTCGGTTACAGAGCCCCTGAGGGTCCGGAGAATGCTCGGGACACCCCTCTCCCCGGAGAAATGTAGAATTCGTAAATAGAAATTCAGGGGGCTCACAGGTGCCATGGAGCCATCCATGGACAGATTCAGTTTTGAAAACCCCGACTATAATGGCTGTAACCCACTACAAGATCCTCTCAGTCTGACACCCGTCCCACTTCACCCCAGTCCCACAGTGCATGCAATGGCTCCCTGTTACCCGCTTACACAGCCCCCTGAACTTCCTTTCACACAACAGTTTGTCATTATGTATTCACGCGATTTTCTGTTTGCAGTCGGCCCCTCCCCTCGTCTGTATGTTACAAGCCTCCCGCCCCAGAATTTAAAAACAGAACTCCGGATGCTGGAACACCCTGCCAGTGTCCCAGTGGCTCTGGGGCTTGGAGTTCTCACCTGAGGATGGGTGGGGGTGGAAGGGCGGACAGGTTGACCTGGTACAAGGCCTCAAATTCAGCCCGGGTGCAGCAGGAGCCCCCTGCAGCCTGCAGGTGGCAGCAGTAGGCCTTCTCCGGGGTATCAGAGAGCCGAGGACAGAAAAAACCGGGGTAGTAGCGGCCATCAGCGTCCCAGGTGGTCTGGCACAAGTGGGTGTGGTGGGCCAATGCTGAAGGGAGGAGCAAGGGGGCTGGAGACAGGCAAGAATGGCCTGGCCACACCCAACTCCAACCCTTCTGGAGAGTGAAATGATTAGCCATTATTAAAAGGCTAGGCTCCCCCCCACCCCCCACTGGCTGCCCAGAGCAGCTCATACCCTGCGGTGATTGTAGGGGCCTGAAGAGGGGTGCACGCAGAGGAGGTGTACCTGAGAGAGAGGTCGGCTGAGCAAGCGGCACCCAGCTGAAGAGCAGCAGCCGCCCCACGGTCAGGCCAGTCAGCAAAAGGCCCAGCCTCCTCTGAAAGCCCATGAGCGGTCACCTCCACCTCAGCACTGGTCTTAGGAATCCCAACATCTCTCTTTCTAAGCCATGGCTGCAGACAGTAGGGAAATAGTCAAAAGCACACGGCCCCTGGGCGCCAATAACACAAACCTGAAGCTTCTATCACAGACCTCTGGAGAGAGATGAAAGTGACCGAGTTTCTATCTTCTGTTGGAAAACGTGGGGACTGTGTCTCCCAGCTGCCTAAGGTTTTCTGAGCTGAAGGGGAAAAGGTTCAGCAGACTAGAGAGCAGAGAGGCATGAGAGAGAAGTTGAGCCATTAGGCTGAAGAACAGACAAGCGTTTAGAGCCAGATATGTTTCTCTCTACCCACTCTCAATTTCCAGGCTGCTGTGGAAGCACTGGGAATTCTGGTCGTTCCATTTCAGGCCCCAGGGACCTCAGTTACAGCATTTGGAGCTTCCCTCCTTAACGTCTGAATCATGGCAACCACTAAGACTAGCTGAAAAACAAGGGCAAGTCCTTCCATTAACTTTTCCCTTGAGCCCTTGTCTGCCCCAGCTACCAGCCAAAACATAAAAGCTATCAGTCTGGTTGGAGTACTATACTTTGCAAACCAGTTCACAGGAAAAGCTCTTCCAGGGTCTCCAGTTCTCTCTTACCCCTTAAACCTCATAGATGCCATCTGCAGAGACGGAATTTCTCTAGAAGGCCCAAGGCCACCAGCCAGCAGTGTTGTTATTCTAGTCTATGGAGACCTTACAATGCCATGCTCCCATTAAGCATGACAACAGTTATCATCTGAGGGGCCCACAGCAGGTGTCTGGGGACTGAAGCAGGAACAGTTATGGTACAAGAAAGAAATGCAGCACCTGAGAACAAAGAAGACAGTTCTTGCAGAAACATCACTGCTGCCCGGGAGTCTAAACCTGAAGCAATTAGGCAGGCTTCTAGTGTAAGCTCCAGTTTCCAGAAGGTCAGGCCGTAGGGTCTTCTGGGCCCATGGGTGAGGCTCCCATGCCCATTCCAACCAGTCCCTCCCTGCAGGGAAAACCATTTTTAGAACACTTTGAGAATTTTCAGAGCATTGACATTGAAGATTGTTTTCTCATGGGAGGAGAGGATCCTCCTGGAAGAGGTTGTCTTTGACCCCGGGAGGCTAGGTGAATTGCCCTTCCTCCAAAGTACCATAGTCCCCTGTGTCTTCCTGCCCTGAATCCAGCACACTGTGAGAACACTGTCTTCCTCCTTCCCCGAGATTGTGGGTTCCCAGGGAGGCAGGCCATGTCCTTCTTGCACCCCCAGCAGATCGTCTGAACCAGGGGCTGCCATGCTGAGGGCAGCTGCCCACACCAGTTGCTGTCTCCGCCAGGATGTCAGCTCCAGAGAAACCTGTGTGGGTCAGACTCCCCAGCTCCCGGCCTCCGCGGAGCCAGGGGGCGCTACGGACACTCCGTCTGGGCTCCAGGGGCTCCCGGGACGTCAGTCGCCCGCCCCACCCGCGCAATGGGCTCCGAGGCCGCGCAGCTGGTAGAGGCTGCGGACTTCGCGGCTCGCAAGCACCGACTGCAGCGGCGAAAGGACCCCGAAGGGACCCCCTACATCAACCACCCTATCGGTGGGCGCACCGCCCGGGGAGCGACCGCAGCGGTGTCTAGGGGGTGGGCACCGGGAAGGGAACGCGGAGGGCGCCTCATTGAGCACCCGCTCTGTACCAGGCTTTGTGCCGGGCACTCTCCGTGTGTAAGTCTCAACAACAACCCGGGGCGGTAGGCATGGTTGTTCCTCTGCACAGTTGACACCCAAAGAGAGTAAAGGCCATCTGGCTAGTGAGAGGCCACATCTGGCTCTGCAAAAGCCGCAGCACGCAGCCTGGGACTCCCTCAGGTCTGACTTCCTGCTTTGCCCCGTCAGGTGTGGCTCGGATCCTGACCCATGAGGCGGGAATCACTGACACTGTGGTGTTACAGGTAACTCCCCTCGTTCTCTCCTAGGAGGCTAGGGTGGGGATCAGGGACCCCATTCGGCCCTGGGCACCCCTTGCCTGGAGTCACAGGGCTAAGTGGAAGCCTGTCCTCAGGCAGCCCTGCTCCATGACACAGTGGAGGACACAGACACCACCTTGGATGAGGTGGAGCTGCACTTTGGCGCTCAGGTGCGGCGTCTGGTGGAGGAAGTAACAGATGACAAGACTCTGCCCAAGCTGGAGAGAAAGCGGCTGCAGGTGGAGCAGGCACCCCACAGCAGTCCCGGGGCTAAACTGGTGAAGCTGGCAGACAAGCTGTACAATCTGAGGGACCTGAATCGCTGCACCCCAGAGGGTACGCTCCCCCACCTGCTCTGAGGGAAAGGGGAGGGATGTCCTTCTTCTGGAGGCACAGGTTGGTCAGTTCCAATGGAAAAAAAAAAAAGAGCCCGGGCCTTCTTGTTGATTCCCCCAGCTAATCCTACTAGACCACTCTGATCTTTCACACCGTAGAAGTGCAGTAACTGGGCCAAGGGGACGTTTTCAGGACAAATCCCATCGGGAACATCTCGTGGCCCTGCACCACGCCCTCCAGGAAGTGGGCAGAAGTGGGCAAAATGCAATGCTGTCCTGGATGCCATGTGAGCAGTTTTCTGTCCATTCTCATGCAGGATGGTCTGAACATCGAGTCCAGGAATACTTCGAGTGGGCAGCGCAAGTGGTGAAGGGGCTTCAGGGAACAAACCGACAGTTGGAAGAGGCTCTAAAGCAGCTGTTTAAGGAGCGGGGGCTGACACTTTGAGCAGGGCTTGGAGCCATCAGGGGCCCAGACTCCACTGGCCAGGCCAGAAAGGATTCCTATTCCAGCCTTTCCTTGCCTCTTCCATCTCGCTCCCTGACTGGTTCAGCCCAGATACGAGAGGCCAAAAAATATTTGTCTCTTCTCACTCTGAATGTGTCCTGCCGACTAAGCTGAGCCCTGGATTGAGGAAATCAGATGCAGCCCGTCCAATCCTAATGCACTTACTGCCCTTTCTCCAGGCCTCGGGGCTGTTTGCTATTCGGTATGAATGAACTCTGGCCCCTCGGGGACTTGGGCTTCTGTAAACACTAGTTCATAAGTCATTATGGAAAAATAAAGCATTTGGGGTAAAGTTTTAAGTTCTTGCTGCTCCTTCCTCAGCCTGCCAAATGGGGAGCAGGTAGGTGGGATGCCTGCCCTTCGGCATGGCAGGGTACCGACTGCGTGCCCCCAGCGGACAGGTCGCTCACGCTGAGGGCCTCGGACCCACCCCCCGGCCCCCGCCCCGAGCCTGGCTTCCTTATCAGTGAGATACGCGGTGTAATTACTAGGGTTAGACTAGGTCCCGTCTCAGACGGAGCCTGACACATAAGTAGGTGTTCAAGAAATGGTAGTAGTCTTCCTCTTTAAGAAAGTTGGACGGGATGACAGATGTTTTGGAAAGGAATGCCACCTGCTTACCAGCAGCAACAGGACAGGGCCGGTGGGGTTACTGCGCGTCCCTCACCCCAGACCCCCCGGAAACTCGTCGCCGTTCGCAGGCCATCCCAGATCTCAGCCCTATCACGCCGCCGGGTCCTTTGGTTGCTAAGTGACACGAACTTCCGGGCGCCTTCGGAAGTGGCCGCCGGGCGGCCCCGCCCCCGGAGGCCTATGGTGGGCGGGGTCTGGGAGAGACGGCCGGCCGCTAGGTGGCGTCCGTGCGCTGGGGTCTGCAAGTGACGGATTTCTGGTCGCTGCCGAGCACCTGAGGCTTATTGGCCCCTTGGAAAGGATACACCTGGGGAATGAGGAAATTAAGTCAAAAGGCCATTTCGTGCTAGACCACGGTGGTTATTTACCCAAAGAAGGCCCCGGTGCAGTCTCTGCAGGAAAAAATGGTGAAGGGCCGCAAGAAGGCGACTTTAAAAGGAAACGAGTTTCAGGATAGTCCAAGGTAGATGGATCAAAGTTCCAAAGTTCAGTGTAGTCCTCTTAAGGCTGGCCAGGATGTGGTACGTTTTGGAGAATTTTGGTTTTAGTTTAATAAATTATTTGCAGGGGGGCGCCTGCGTGGCTCAGTCCTTGGGCGTCTGCCTTCGGCTCAGGTCATGGTCCCAGGGTCCTGGGATCGAGCCCCGCATCGGGCTCCCTGCTCGGCGGGAAGCCTGCTTCTCCCTCTCCCGCTCCGCCTGCTTGTGTTCCCTCTCTTACTGTGTCTCTCTCTGTCAAATAAATAAATAAAATCTTTTAAATAAATAAATAAATAAATAAATAATTTGCGGGGAGGTAGGATTACAGGATTTTTAAAAACTTTATTCCTTACACTTAAATACATGTATTTACATATATACTTATATATAAATGTTAATAAACCAATAACTTAATAGCATAGTAATATACTTTATTAACATATAGTATATTTATTATACTATTAATAAATGTATATATGATAAACCTGCAGTTTATATATATCTATTTAATATCAAATAAAAAATATATATCTGCAGCTTTTAAGTGGCTTAAAATTAAGGTTTCAGGACATTTAATGAAAATCCTGTTACTTACAGAATGCAGGGGTAAACTGTCACACAGGGTGCTTGATGTTGTACAAAAAAACCTCTTCACAGGTGTTACTTCATCTGTTCTGTATAATAACCAGACAAGGTAGTAGTGCAGGACCCGGCTATTGTTTTCATTTTACAGAGACAAAACATGAAGCTCAGGGAGGTGACAAGACTTGTTAATGGTCAAACAGGTGGAACAGTGACAGATCAGGACCATAATTCCCCTTCTTGCCACACTATTAAGCCTTTAAAAATTTTTTAAAGTTTTTTTTAAAGATTTTATTTATTTGAGAGAGAGAATGAGAGAGCACATGAGAGGGGGAAGGGTCAGAGGGAGAAGCAGACTCCCCGCGGAGCAGGGACCCCCGATGCGGGACTCGATCCCGGGACTCCAGGATCATGACCTGAGCCGAAGGCAGTCGCTTAACCAACTGAGCCACCCAGGCGCCCTAAGTTTTTGTTTTTGTTTTTTTTTTAAGATTTTATTTGAGAGAGAGAGAGAGCACAAGCAGGAGAAGGGGCAGAGGGAGAGCATATCTGAGCTGACTCCCCAATGAGAGGGGAGCCTGATGCCGGGCTCAATCTCACAACCCATGAGATCATGACCTGAGCC